AGCAGACACAATTTAAAACTCTTGAAGACGTTCAAAAATGCGTATACGAGTACATTGCGTCAAAGCCACCGACAGTATTCATAACTTACCAGAAAAGTGGCGAAAAGTCATAGAAAACAACGGCGAATATTTCAATGATTAACTATTTATATTTTTTAAATGAAATGTTTACTTTACCAAAAAATCGGAAAGAACTTATTTCTACACCTAATATATAATTTCATTGTATATACCTTATATTTTAAAACGTTTGTGTAATTAAAATTAATAGCAATGATAGATCGAAATATATGCCTGAAATTAAAAACTGTCTCTTTATAACTTACTTTTTTCCCTTTGCTTAGCATGTGGTCTTAACTTACACGGTATTCTATTCTATCGTAAAATTGTGACTTCGCGTAGAAAAAACATAACTCATAGGTCCGTGTCGTACACTTGTAAACAGGCCTGCAATTAATCGAAGAATAACATCACGCTACATACTCAACCATTCATTGGTCAGAACTGTGATTGGAAAGAGCAAGAATATATGACGATTTAAAAAACTGTCGAAGAAGAATTTTTCTTGGATTATTTTTAGAGTTAATTGTATCATATTGTGAGTTACGTTTTAATTAGTTTAAATAAACTACAGTCATGTGTAGAATATTAACTGGATTTTATATATAGAGAATAATGCGTAGTATTTTTTAACTTTAGCATTTCATATTTTTCATTAACGTAAACATTTTGGAAACAGATTAATTTTAAATCGAGCACAAAAATTGATAAAAAATAATCGACATTTTTTTTGCCGACAATGATTTAACAGATATTTTTCGTCGTGATCCTTATCTATAATAAATGTAATTTATGACTAATTCGCGCATGCGTACGGTGTGGGTGATCACATCGCGCATGTGTAATTTATCGGTTTGGAGGGGCGTAGAAAGGAGGCCATATTGTACAGTTAAATTGAAAGAACGAAAATAATTATATCATCGTGCGGTCGTGCTTGTTTCGTTTCGTATTTTTTGCCGTGTGTAATAGCCAGCACAGTGTCGTTCGATTGTTGTGAGTTGAGCAACAGTGCACGGGAGCTGATTAATAGGCTCCTTCGATTCCTTTTGTAAATAACTACGAGTCGTAGTGGTGTATCCTGATATCTAAGTATCGTCCGTCACTCTACTAAAGGGGTTTATTGCTCCGGACGAGATGGGCACTCGGGATGACGAATACGATTATTTATTTAAAGGTAAATTTCGAATACCATGCGTCGTCGTCGTCATTGCTTCGTCGCTTGTCGTGAAACTTGACAAAAATTTTTCTACGTATACATGCAAAGACACATACACATCTAAGTGCACGTTATACGCATTTGCATATTCCTCTATATACGTTTCGTGTGCATCCGCATATGTGTGTATACGTGTTCTGCTATTCACATTATATTATGCATCGTACGCGTATGGTTTTGTACGTGTGTGTGCGTGTATTGGTTAAAAATCAACAATTGTTATCGTTCAATAATATAACGAAGAGGAGTGGGGGAGGGGGGTGTATATGGGGGAATTAAAGTCAAGTTAGTGTTAGAAACGATGAAACGATTGACAGAGACGTTCTAAGATCTTCAGACTTAAACGATAACATCAGAGATGGGCTTTCGCCTATGAAAATTTGCTCAAATCATCTTCGTGTCAATTGTCAGTTACTGTTAATCGTACGAGACGACTATCTGAATTTATTTATGTTTCGTGGACAGTTATCGGGGAACTTTTGTGTACATATGTCTGTGATCTTACATTATCCGTTATGATTTCTGTAATTTGACTATCGAACAGTGTTCAATTGTGTGCGTACATTCCTTTACGTGATTCGCACGCTGTCGTCTACTTGTTTCTATTGTGCGCGCGTCAGTAACTGCCCTTAAAATTTTTTTGGCGTTGACATATTCTGATGAATTAACAAAACCATAAAATAAAAATAAATAATTGGGAACCATGTATGTTAC